AACTTTACGAGTGACATTTGCCGTGTGGGGCCGGGCGTTGTCGTGAATCAACAAGATCTTAGAGCTCAACATTCCTCTGCGCTTGTTTTGAATTGCTCTTCTGAGTTTTTGGAGAGTTTGGCAATACCTTTGAGAGTTTATTGTAGTGCCTCTTTCCAGGAAGTCCACCAAAATTACACCTTTTCTGTCCCAAAAAACAGTCGCCATCATCTTCCTTGCCGACATTGTTTGCATGCATTTCTTGGGTTTTTGGGGAGAACTTGTGTGCCCCCACTGCATTGATTGCAATTTCGTTTCACAGTTCACATGTTTCACCCATGTTTCGTCACCAGTAACGATGCGATCGAGTAAAGAGTCACCATCCTTATGGTAAGCGTCCAAAAAGTTCAACGCTGCAGCCATTCGCTGATTTTTGTGGTCCTCTGTCAAGATTTTTGGAATCCATCTTGCACAAAACTTGTGGTAACCAAGCTTTTCGCTGATGATTTCGTGCAACAAACTTCGCGAAATTTGTGGAAAACTCAAAGAAAGTTCCGTTATTGTGAAATTTCGATTTTCACGGACTTTAGCATCGACTTTTTCGAGAAGTTCGGCGGTCACTATGCTGGGTCTCCCACTTCGATCTTCGTCGTGAACATTGGTTCGGCCATTTTGAAATCTTATGACCCACTGACGCACTCCACCTTCAGTGATAATGTTGTCCCCATACACTTCACGAAGCTGCCGATAGATTTCTATCGGTTTACAGTTTTTTTGCAGTCAGAAACCTTATTACTGAGCGCACCTCGCAGCTCGCGGGATTTTCAATTAACGCAGACATTTCAAACCGTCACAGTATCTGAACGGAGCACAGCACGAACCTCTCACTAGCACGGCTAGATGCAGACTGAGCTGCGCAACGCTCTGACCCCAAGATGGCCGCGCTAGCCCCGCCCCTAGCGGACACAGACGGAAACGTAATCTACTTCCTGGATGGCCCTCGTAATTTTTAAATATAAATCTTTTTTGTAATTTTTTTTAAACTTTTAAGAAAAGTCATTTCAAACGGGTCGCTTAAAACTTTCAAATTTAATTTTATTCTTTAAGTTTGTTTCAATTTGACTTTTATAAAAATAATTATTCTAAATCTTACGTTTCTATACAAATATACTGTGCTTTAAAAATATGGATGATAGTATCAGCCGCTCTTTCAGCCACTTCATGAGCAACAGCTTGTTTAGAAATAAATTATGCAATTAATGTCATAAAATATTTTCATAAAATTCAAATAAACATCAAACGAAAGTTCTCAGTTTTAGACAATTCGATTTAAACGAAGTAAAGTAGCAGACGATAAATAGCCGAAGATAAAAATTTACTCTTACAAACACTTTTTTTTAAAAAAGCAAGAAAGAGCGAAATTAAAGAAAATAGTTAAAAATTTGAATAATATCTATAATTAAAAAAAAAGCTTTTCATATAGTATAAATAAATATTTATTACGCATCATTGAGGGAAAAAATTTCATATAATTAATTCTCTGTAAAATTTTATTTGAAATTTAAGATTAAAAATAGCTGTGGCAATTCACTGTAACAAAAATCCATAAACCACATTTGGCATTATTATCGCTCAAAAAAAAAAAAAAAAAAAAAAAAAAAAAAAAAGATGCCAAATTTCAAAACGTGAAAATATGTAAATTCGTGTATATTTTAGAAAATTTTGAATAAAAAAGTCTAATTTTTTTGCAGCTATGCTTAGAAATACACCTACTTTAAGATGATGGTAAAAATTTTATAGGTTATAATTCAAAATATTTTTCGAAAAATTTATAAAAATTATTTAAAAATAGAAATTTAAAAAATAAAACACAAAAAATGGGTAAATTTTATTTGGAATGAACCTAAATTTCGAAATGTGAAAGGAAAATAAAAAAAGTTTAATATAATATAAAAGGAGATATTAGTAAATCTTTGCCAAATTCAATTAACATTGAGGAGCTAAAATTCTGAGAGCTAATATTTTAAAAACTACTCATACCATTTTTACAAAACTTGGCATTCTGGCATAATTTGAGTCGTAGAATCGAAATATGGAAAAAAAATTGGTATGTTATTTCAGAGAAAGTCCGATTTTGTGTCAAAATACCTATGTTAGAATAGTGCTATATATAAATCTAATATATATTCTAAGTCGCGCTTTTGAGGCATGAAAAACGCAGTTTGAATTTCGACAATCGACCCAGTAGAACGAGAGATATAGCACTGTCCCCCCCCTTTTTTTTTTTTTTTGAGCAGTGTACAACAAGTTCAAAGTCTGCCAGCATTTAAATTAAGCTTTATATTAATGATAAGTCAGTATTTTCCAGAATTTAACTTCTAGTATAGATTTGAATCAGGTTGTAATGAAATTTTGAATGAAACAAAGATAATAGGTGCACTTCGTTGAAAAATCAGTATTTGTTATAGCTAGTGACTAACAACAGTAGTTTTACTATAATTTTTTTTCTTTTTGTGTGGCTGTGTTAGTGTATATTGTTATATAAAATTGAATTGCACTGTATATCTCATGCTTAATTTGTTTAAATTTTTTCAGCAGTGTTAGTAAAAATTTTATTTCGAGAGTTTAAGAATCGGAGTATGAAATTTAAAAATATGACACTGGAAATAAAAATAAGCCTTTGGGTCTTTTCTGCAGTTTGCGACTTAGTCTGTTTTGTCACCATTCCTTTATTTATAATAAATCATTATTACCTCATTTTAATTCAAGTTGTTGGATATTTTCCTAGAAATAGAATCTGTTCATGAGTTCTTATAGCAGGATCTTCTCCAATTAGAACACACATAAACGTATTTATGTTCACTTTGTAAGTAAAAATGCTTGCTACAATTTTAGAATAGGCTTAGTTTCTTGGTGCAGACTTTTAGTCCTTTCCACTTAGAGCAATCGTAAGTACTTTAGCTTACTTAATAACATCCATAAAATAAATGAGAAAAAATGTTGAATTCATTCAAAGTTTATTAAAAATTTATTTAAAGTTTTTCTTTGATCATGCATTTATTTCAATATCTTAAAATTATTTGCATATATATAATTGCATGTATATTAGCATATATATTAGTCCGTTATCCTCAGGCTTTCATAACTTTTTCTTGAGAGATTGTATCATAATGTGTGTGGGGTTTAAATATGATTCCTTTGTCATTTGTGCTATTCTTCTGCAAAATGATTCTTTGATTTTGATTTTTTAGCCAAATATGTGCATCATATAACTTATTAAAATTTAAGAAAATCAGGAACCTGGAAGAGATTTGGTGGGTTAACATAGCTCTTTAGATGCCACACAATATTTAACTCTTAAGATACAGAGTAGGTTAAAACACTTATGGAGGCTATATTAAGGATAAGTGTAAACAATTAAATGGCAAATACAGTATATTGGCACTCACTGCTTTTTCTCCTTTTTTGTTAAGAGCTTCAGACAGGGCTCATTGCACATGAGATTTTCGTAATATTTGTCACACTTAATAATTTTTATTTCAGATTTTCTGTGTGGTGTTAATTTCTTATTATTTGAAATTTTACATATCATATAAAATTCATCATTTCTACTGTTGATGAAATCAGGAAGCAAAGAAATTTTATAGTCTAAAATGTTAATATTTCATCTGCAAATTCTTCTTTCTTAGAACTTAATTGTAAAAAAGAAGTTTTTAAATGTCAAGCATTACTTCAACATATTTTGAAATTTTCAAATAGAGATGAATTTTTTCGTAATTATCTACAAACTGTTACATATTGGACACCATTTTTTTTTGTCACCTTTTGAACGGTTCTGCCCATTTTTCCAATGTGTTAGTTTTTTTAAAAATTATTATTATTTTAAAATTTTTATTATTATTTTATTTTAAAAGTGGATTGCAAGATCTCTTCTTCCTTCCATTATAAGCATATGGTACACTACTATCATGTACTTTCATATTTGGGCTAAATGTTTGCTCTTTATTAATATGTTTTTCTTCATGAAAATATGCAAATATTAAGTTTTCATATCTGTTCAAAAAATTTGATATTTACTTCATCAATCTAATACTATTTAATATTTACACTCTTATGCATGATTACTGAATTGAATATATTAAACATATTCTATTTAGTAATCATGCACAACATTTTAAAGACAAAACTGCACTTTGACATAATATTTAAATTCATTTGGGGACGTTTTCTGGGTTTCATTAATTTTATTATAAATCTTAGGTAATTGGGGGGGAAAGGCATGTTTAAAATTCTGTTTAACTCTAAAACATATTTCTGAAGTGTATGTGCAAACAAATTTTTTGCTGCATTAAATTATTTAATTAAATTTGCAAAATTAAAATTTTTTTGGATTAAATTTTAACAGTGCCCTCATGTAAAAGAAAGTAAAAAATCCCACTTGTATACCTCGAACTGTTATATTAATCTGATCTACAAATAATCGTAAAAAGTTCTTTATAATAAGAGTAAGTTTTTAAAATAACTAAATTCTTTTCAATTTGATGGCTATAATTATGCAAAATAAAGGAAAACTTACCAAAAAGTTTAATGAAATATTAAAAACAAATAAAATATCATGAAATAGTTTTTACAGTCTTTGTGATTTATATGATAATAGAGTAATACTTTTTTTAAATGATGATAAATTTTTTTGAAAAATATGAAGACACTTTCAAAATTTTTCATAGTTGCAGTGTTTTGTATTTGTCGTATGTATGATAGATGCATTGATTTAATAAAATATTTTACAATATGTATTATTTATAAAAGTTGATGAAAACTATAACAGTGTAAATTATTACTGGTCTGAAATCATCAGCACTTATTAAAAATAGAAACCTAAACTCTTTGTTTTTTAAAGCCATTTTTAAAATCAGATGATTATGTTTTTATAAATTAATGATAAATTTTCTATGTGGAATACATTATAGGTTTCACATATTTATATTAAAGCATTTTACTGTAATGGTTTTTATCTCCAGGCATGGATTGGACACCCATATATTGATGTAATTGATAATTCTACAGACTTTGACACTAAACTCAGGAGATTAATTGCGGTAAGAAGAATTCATTTTTTGTGTAGTATATGGAATTCAGCTCCCTGTGCTGAAGTATATCTAGAATAGTTTGTGTTCAACTGTATGCTTTTCATTGAAAATTTTATGCAATTCTTATGATTTCATTTAATCTGGAAATGTAATAGCTATAAAAATATATTATAATGATCTGCATGCATAATTTTTTTAGATTATTAGTTAAGGTAAGAAAAGTGTGAAATTCTCTGATTACCTTTTATTTGCATATTTCTTTCCCTTATATTCCCCCTCAATGTTTTCAGCATATAATTTAGAACTTCTTAGTTATTGTAATAATGTGTAAGATAATACTTGATGGCTCATTCAAAGTGCATTGTTTAAAAAAAGTGTTAAATTATTGACTGTAATACTTTTTTTTTTAAAAAATATAATATTAGTTAATCTGTTATATTAATCTGATCTACAAATAATCGTAAAAAGTTCTTTATAATAAGAGTAAGTTTTTTTAAAATAACTAAATTCTTTTCAATTTGATGGCTATAATTATGAAAAATAAAGGAAAACTTACCAAAAAGTTTAATGAAATATTAAAAACAAATAAAATATCATGAAATAGTTTTTACAGTCTTTGTGATTTATATGATAATAGAATAATACTTTTTTTAAATGATGATAATTTTTTTGAAAAATATGAAGACACTTTCAAAATTTTCCATTCTTACATGTGTTTTTATGTATCAAATCTTCCTTTGAACTCTTTTCTCAAAATTACTATGCACTATGTAGTTTTCCACTTCTTAATTTTCATAAGATAGAATTTGGAGGAAAGGAAGGTTAGACAAGTGTGGTATTTTAGTGAATTCTGGGAGATTTTGTGAGTTATTACAAATATCAAACAACTTTATACAATTCAGACTTTCTTTATCATTTTATAGTTTCTATAGCAAGTGTTAAATTATTATTATTATTATTATTATTATTATTATTATTTTGTGTTCAGATAATGTTAATATTGCTTTTATTAAATTTCATTAGGGGAAAAAATTAATTTCTGGTCTTTTGTGATTTTCACTTCCTCATTATTTTTGGGTAATAAACAGTGTATTATTTGAGGGTATATATTAAACTCTATGGAGCATGCTGATACTGCATTATTTGAAAATATTCTGCTTTCTGAACTAAATGCGCCAGGAAGTAAATTATAAATAAAACTTTTTGGTTTAACTACCAGGTTATATTGATTCTTTTGATTTATACAACAATTCTGTATATGGATCCTATAGTTTGAATAGTTGTAGTAATGATTTTTGGTTGCATATTGTCAGTTATACTAGTATATTTAGGAAGAAAATGCAGCTCATAAAAAGGAAGTTCTAAGCAGATACCAGGAAAAACATTTTATCTGAATGAAAATCAAAAAGGAGGACAAAATGCACTGACATTGACTAGGTAGAATAGTTTGAAACATTGCTTTTTCTTTCCAAACATTTAGAAGATTATATATAATTCTATGAACTTAAAAAATTTCAATTTATGTGTTAAAGGGCTTTGATGTAGATTTTTCATGCATGTAATTTAGTTATAAATGAAAGTTATCATTGTTGGATTCTAAACTTTTATTCTCAGGTAGGTTGTAGAATAAGATTCCTAAGAATCTCTGTTCGGAATTTCTAGGGCATTTTACTGATTTTCCATTTTCATACAGTGTAGGGTAAAGTTGTGAACATCTTTTGGCAACTGTAAATTAAAGAAAAAAAGTGTAAAGACATGCTGCTTTTTCACTAATTAAGAATAATTTAAAAAATATTTATTTCCTGCACTGAGAAGCTTGAAAACTTGGTAACATTGTGCTCAGTTTAGAATGGTGACCAGTACAAAGGATACATTATGTTCAGCATAAAAAGTATTTTGGAGATTTATCCCATATTCGCAAAGGGAATTCTGAAAAACATCTTCCAAAGAAATGAGCAGTTCCAGTAAAAAACGGTTTTCTGGCCTTGTCAAAAAATTCTGTGAAAAGCTTTTAAATAATCAGCAAAGGAAGAGAGAAATGCACCCTAGAAATCATGATGGCATATAAAAAATATATGGTGTAAATGACACAGGCATGGTATAGAAGACCCATTCAATGATAATTCTTGCAACTAAAGATGTACGTAAAAAAATCCTTCAATATGAAATGTATTTTCATTTAGATGTATTTAAAAAGGAGATACATGTTTGACCACATATTTTATTCAATCCATTGAAAAGCTTAGGACTAAAGATTAATACAAAAATCTGAATAATTCATCATTTCTGAATAAATGGTACTTCTGTGTATTCATCTAATAAAAAAAATAAAGAAAAACTTACTGTATCTCAATAGTGTTTCTCTGATTCGATCATACTCTATATATTCAAAGACAAACATGTATGTGCCATGCTGTCCTGGCTTAAACAGTTTCATTTAATGGAAATGACGGGAATTCGAGATTATTATTGAGCTCATTTGAACCTCAAAATCATTTGGGAAGAAAGCTGGCTCTTTGTGAAACATCAAAAAAGGTATTGGGTATTGCCAGTTATGTATTAAATGGTTAATGGACAAACAGCTATGGCTGCTATTCCCTGCTGCAAGAAGGACTTAGTGAATACACAGTTAATTATATTTTTACAGCATTGTAAGTGGTGTAGTAGAATAATATGATGTAATGTGCTTGAAATGAAGTACTGCTCAATCCAATTTGAAGTAATTATTCTAACTGGCCTTTCTAAGTCACTTTATTAGTGACTAGGAAAGGTGGGTTACAATTGATGTCAGCAGTGGGATCAAGTATTTCCTTAAAATTTCAATCTCATTTATATAAAGTGAGTTTAAAAGAATTTCCTATAAGTGTCCTAGATTTCTAAAATAAAGAGGGAGGACATTGTTACAACACTACATATAGAGTTCATAATTCATTACTGTTATGCATAAACAATTCCAGTGCTGAATGATCTTTATGTGTAACATAATACATGAAATGGCATTTATATAGATGAAAACCTTGATCCCATTTAAAGGCAGTGAAAATATTGCCAGGATTTGTAAATATAAGCATTAAAAATATGCATATTGTAATGCTTATTTAGCTATGTAGCAATTAGCAATATTATTGTTTTGCATATAGTTCCATATTTGCATATGAAGAATCAAAACAAAATTTATCTAGCCAGTATCACTCAGGACAGTTCCAAAATTACATTTACAGTTAATAATGAAGACAGCTTCATGGCAAAACACTAAAGTACAGCTCCCGACTCGGTCGATCGCTCTCGGAGCTCAACACACTCAAGGTGAAACTCGACGATACACTACATACACTCGAAATGCTCTAATTCGCGATACTGTGATGATAAACTTCTACTTCATGTACAGGCAGGGTTAATAGCTTTCGAGAATGTTCTGAGCCAAACTGGTAAAAATTTGTTCCAGAATGTTCTCCATCCATCCATGGCATGCCAATTTTGTTGCCGAATGTGCGATTTCATGCCAAATATGGCAACCCTTTCTTCCAGTGCTATTTTCTGGCAACTTTAAACCCGCCTTGCGGGGAAGCTATCTCATTGCAGGCGGGCATTTCGTAACAATTCATATTATATATATATATATTGCCACTCTGTTTTCTGGCTATGTGAGCTTAGATTTTTTATTAAATTGTGCTTTTTTTGTTATAAAAAGTGATTGAATTATGTTGTTCTTATGTTCCAATTAAGGTTTTTATGCCTTTAGTTAATCTGCATGCGATAGCTGTAGAAGTATCAACAATTTAAAAGTTGTTTAAGTGCAGCTAAGCCTAATTTTTTTTACCATATGAGCCATATTTGTTTACATTTGAAACTTAGAATAGTGAATTCAGTTTTTCTGTACCATCAGTGTCTTTTTGCCAAGTGAGACCAAAAGGAAACTTTTAGTTTTGTGCACAGAAAAATCTCCTTTTTGCCTGCTGGCTGAATTGCTTGTTTTTGCGCAGAAACTCTAATTTTAATTGTAAAAAAAATTTTTTTTTCGTTGTATTTGGTGTTTTATGTTTTTCTATATCTTTCAATTTTTAATGAAGATATTTTGAGTTTTTATGCATTTTTGGCTTGCTGCTAAGTGAGAACTGAATTAATTGAATGATATTTCTGATGAAATTCGAGGAAATAAGTTTAAATGAAATGCAGGAAAAAATGCGTATAATTTAATATTCTGTGCTAGGAATTTGTGGTATACGCATAATTTTTTTTTAAAATGCAATAAATGGGAATTGTTGCTAATGTTGCCTCGGTGACATCACCAAATACAAAGCCTAAAATAATTTTACCTTTACTTTCTACCATATCTACCATATATTTCGAAATTTAAGCTGATCTGTGTATGCGCTGATAGTGCATTTTTTATTTAAAAAATTTACCCAAAATTCAAAACCGCTGTATGAGCCAAAATTTAAAAAATAAAAAGTCCTGTAACATTTAAACATGTTGCCATTAGGGTGAAAATGCTGCCAAGCAGCTAAAACATGTGATATATTTTCTAGTCAAATCAGTATCAAGTAAACTCCAGATGCCAAAGATGGTTGCTTTAGTTCTGGTAATCCTGTCTGAAGCTAGCACATTTATTCCATTCATTTGTTGTCTTGTATATGACCTGTGGAGTCTGTGTTAGTCTTATTTTTTGTCTGAAAGATGAGTGGAAAGAGATGAGAAATTCTTGTGCTGTCAAATTATTAATGATTGCATTTGCTAAAAATTCAGACTACAGTATGGTTGCTGATCATTTCTCCGCAGTGGGAAAACAACCTCGAGATTGGAGAAAGCTGGGCACGAATATCGCCAACATCAGGTATTTCGCTTTGGTGAAGATGCAGCACTCCAGCAATATAAACAACTTTGAAAATAAAACAGCTCATTTTCATAAAAGAAGTAACTCATTTAATTTAAAACTGATTTGTTTTTTATAAACTTAACTCTTTCGCACCTAACGGGACACGTACGTCCCAAGCAAATTTCAAAAAATGCTTTTGGGATAGAAATACTTCTCTGTGTAATGGGAGACTTTCCCACCAGCCCTGCCAATATTTTTGAAGGTATTTTCATTCACAGAACATAGATGGCACTACTGTACATAATGCAATTCCCTCGTTTTTGAAGTGTTGTAGCAGCTCATTCCATACTCTACGAACGTAAATAGTTTAGTTTTGGAAAATACCACATATAATCGATTACATTTTGATTTATCCATAAATCTAAGGCCAGATAAGTTACTCACGAAGCAGATTACCCCTAATAAACTGGTAAATGGCAAAGTTTTACTTTCTTTTTTATTATCAAGACATATGTGCCTGTCTCGTCTTGGATAGTGGGAACACATTGTCCCAACAGTCCTATGTGATCATTTCTCTAGATATTATTTTTTTCGGTTACTTTTGAAATAGTTGCTTATTATTTTTAATTTAGGCACATATTAATTCAATCTAAAATGACTCGACGCCGGGGACTTACTAATGAAGAAATCAAAAAAATTTTAGAAGAGTCAGATGACGAAGATATTGATTTGGATAATGAAATAGACGATCCCAATTTTCAAGATCCAACACACAATTTGCAGTACTCTTCCGATTCAGACGAGTGTGAAATGGATATCGATCATGATACCATTCCTTAAAATACAAAGAACAGCGATGCTTTGAGTGATACTTATATGGCATCACTTTCATCAGTTGATGAGATACCATCAGCTAATGCTTGAGGGTGCAAACCAATCTTATGGTTTCATGCAGATTCAACTTTCCAACCTCGAATGACAATTCCAGCAGAGTCATCGCCTAGTTTGTTATTCAACTTAACTGAACAAGTTCAAGGCACACTTGTTCAGCTACCGAATGGGACATGTTTCTCAAGATATTTCCAAAAAGTCTTATGATTTGGATCTCTCAATGCACAAACCACTGACTCGAAAAGTTAGGACAAACAATTCACCCTACAGACCCCTCTGAAATTATGCTTGTCCTTGGATGCATGCTTGTCATGTCTTACAAAAGGGTGCCGAAATTCTCTCATTACTGGTCATCTAATCCTTCTTTGGGAAACGTAGCAATAAAAATGCTATTTCAAGAGACAGATGTAAAACGTTGCTGTCGAAACTATATTTTGCTGCACCTAAAAAGCCAGAAAATGCAAGTAAAACATATTATATTGACGAGGTTGTTTCGTGCCTGAAACAAACCTTCAAACAGTGCCGAAGCGAAAGCTCATATCAAGCTATTGATGAATCAATAGCGAAATTCAAGGGACGTTCATTCCTCTAACAATATATGCCGATGAAACCTGTGAAAAGAGGGATAAAAATTTGGCAGCGATGTGATTCAAAAACAGGATATGTATATGACATGAACATTTATTCCGGAAAAGAAACGGGTGAAGTTCAAGGCACACTCGGGGAATGGGTAGTATCAAAGCTAACGGAGACAATCCAAGGTAAAGATGTGATGCTTGCGTTTGACCGATTTTTTACAAGCGTGCACCTGATGGAAACCCTGAAATTTCCTGCTGTTGGTACGTGCATTAAGACACGTAAAGATGTGCCTAATTTTGCAACAAAACTAAGCAAAAGGGGTGAGGCTGAGTTTCTCGTAACTAAATATGGAACATTGTGTGCAAGGTAGCTTGATTCAAAGGAAGTGATGATGCTAAGTAATTGCCACGAAGCTAAATACACAAAACTAAATTGCACCAGGAAAGATGGAAGCAAAGAAGAATTTGAGTGCCCTGTGGCAATCGAATTCTACAACAAAATCATGGGAGGTGTAGACCTTGCAGATCAAATGGCAAATGTCTATGAATTAGATCGAAAATCTTTCAAGTGGTGGAAAAAAGTATTTTTTCGCCTATTGATGAGCGCAGTGGTCAACTCATGGATTGCGTACCGCGAACTCAAACATCGAAAAACCCCACTTCTTGATTTCATTGTACCTCTTGCAGAAGCCTTGATGGCGTCCGGAAAGCTCAATGCACAGTATCAACGCCGTAGAGGAACTGGATGCCCATCCAAAACATCACGAAGCTTACTCAATGTTGGTGACCATCTGCCAGTAACAACAAAAACACGACGACGGTGCCGTAAATGTGCACAACAAAAGAAAAAGGAATGTAAAATAATGTGCACGTGATGTGTAATGTCGCATTGTGCATTGATTGTTTCAAACCGTAACCATTCCGCATTAATAAATTTTTATGACTAGAAAATCATTGGTTTCTTTACAGAATTACTCATTGAAGACTACTGGGACACCTAATCCCAGTGGTCAGGACTGATGGGACATATATGTCCCGGGTCTAAATCAGTGTTTAAATTTTTTCTAAAAATATAACATCTTAGTTTTTAGCATTTTAGTGTGCCCTACTCATAGTTTATGTTATCAAAATTGTTCTGTTGTAAAAAAAAAAAAAAAAAAAAAAAAAAAAAATCGTCGCGAAAGGATTATAAAATAAAAAGTACAATATTAAGTGATTTAATCACTTGTGAACGGCTAATGGAAAATTACTTGTGTTTTTTGCAAAATTAGCAGACCTGTGTATTAAGACAACCCCTGTAATTTAGTTTTAGAAAAAGTTTCAAATACACAGGAATATCAAGTATTTCTAAATCAGGTATTACTTCTGTTTGCTTGCTTGCAATGTAAATAGCAATCTTTTTCAGTTTTATTTTCATTTTTATTCAGAGTGTGTGTAGAAGAATTGGAATCGATACTGGTGACAGATTGGCAACAAATAGCCATAAACTGAAATTTTTGGTTGGAAATTTGGCTCAGGATTCGGTAAGATTTTGTTTTCTTTATTAATTATGTAAATTTTATGTTAATTCAGGCTTTTCGTATTCCAGTGGTAGAACTAACTCTTATTTAAAGATGTCTAGTACATTAAAAACACTACTATCGAAAAAATAAAATCTGATTTGAAAATTAAAAAAAAATTTTTTTCAAACCATTTAAGATGTTAATAGAAGAAATCTCTACGCAGAAGCAATAATACATTTTTGTAAAAGTTGTGGAAGAAATCCGAATTTTTTACAGAAGGAAAAGCATATTTTATCTTCCTTCATGTAGATTTAGATATCATATCAAATATATGCCATGTTGTGCTCAGTGAATAAGCTCTTCAAAGGGAGAGTATTTGTATTTTAGAATGACATCTTAAGTGGGTTATGGTGAGGAAAAAACCGTCAAAAAATAGTTTTATTAATGTGTAAAACTGTTGTCTATGCCTAAATAAACAGTTCTGCTCAAGTGAGTGAATTTATATGAAACTTTATAAAGTGCATTTCTTCCCTTTAAACGTTCTTTGAGAATTAAACAAGACGAAATAATACCTGATCAAGAGAACAGTTTGAAGCATGTTTGGACATGTGAATAATTGTTAATTGAAATTTGAAAGTGTGGGGTATTACAAAAATGCAAATTTGAAAGTAATTGTAACTAGTATTTAAAGCAAATATTGAGTAAATTGCATCATGTGCACCACCATTCCCTCTGTGCTGATAAACCATAGTATGCTATATTTTTACCTTAAATTTGCAGACATGTTTGCATTTTCAGGTTCACAATACAGGTATTGGATGCCCATATAGGCATTCCAATACATACAAAATTCATTCAGTGATATTTTCATCATTGACAGCCTGGTATCTGTTATTTTTCTGTTCAACATACACTGTTCTAATCTTTTATGCTGTTTTCTAATGAGTTAAATATTCATGAAATCCTGGTATTTGAATTGAAAATTTGCATAATTTCTGTACATGTTATAGAGTATCATAAATTCCTACTGCCTGATACATATTGTGCAAAATTTATGAAGACCTTCTCACACTCATAAATCTTTGTAAAGTTAAAATCTGAGTTTCTAATGTTTCTATATGAACCACTATGTATAGTAGTTTTCACATGTAACTTTTTTTAATGTTTAATTTTTGTAAAAATTTGCATTTTGGATTTTTAAATATTTCCTTTCATATCTTATTTAAACCTGTTTTAGGAATTTCCCCCATTTCAAGATTTTGAAGTTGTCCATGACTATCTTGTTACCTCACATCCACGAATTCAGTCAAGATTACGAAAACGTGGTCAAAATGGTATTCATTTTATAAATTTCATATGATGTTCTTTGATTTATATATTTGTGTCTATTTTAATGTGCTTCATTTTTCTAATTCAATTTAGGTAATTGGAGTTACATGCATACTCAGAGGCGTTGTGATGTCAACACTCAAGTTATTGAAGTCAAGAGGCAAATTACACATCGAGATTATGTGGTATGTAATGAAGTCATGTTTATATGCAAATACACTGATAATCTGAATTATCAGATAATCAAAATTGTAATTTTCTTTTGCCACATTATACATACATACATACATACATATATATATGTAAGATAAAAATATATAAATCAAAATTATAATTTAAACTAACGGTAAAACATTAATTCTCCCTCCTTGTTATAAAAATTGTAATAACTTCTCTGGATTGCGTCATTCTATGATCTGTGCAGCTCTGATGACATAATAATTGGGAACCAAAACTTTTCATGTGCTTCCATCTTGCATAACTACGCACTTCAGCTTCGCTCTCTGCCCTGCTAGGATGTAATTTCGTTGTCTTGCTTGCTATTGCTATAATATCAAAAGTGTAAATGTTCTTGAATAGGCACACTAGAGTGCCAAGTTAACCGTGACCACAAATGTCAGTTGAAAATAAAAATGGAATTAAAACTGCCTTGACTGCCAAGTTTTTTAGATATTACAAAGTCAACCTATTATCTTACGACGCAATCAGAATGCTTCTTCTTCAGTATGAATCTACATGTGCATCAACACTGCTCTGCCTTTTCCTTTGTTGCTATTATATCATATTATATATATATACATTTTTTAAAATTCACTTGTGTTTTTCATGGGGGAGGTGAGATGATTGAATTCTTTTGTAATGTAGCATATTTCGCAATATGCTATGTCACTGAAGATCTACCTAATTAGTTAAAAAAAACTTCGTAATGCAAACATAATTACTGCACATTGAAATCAATATGTAATTTTATCTTTCTGTGCATTCATAAGTTATTTTGTTGAGAAAAAAATTATAGTTTCATTATGGTACTCAGTATAGTGTCTTAACATTCTTTCAATATGTAAAAATTGTTAAAGGAAATGATAAAATGCAATGTGTAAAGTGTAACTTATTTTGCAGAAGAATAGAATAATGTGATTTGTTTCCTAACATTATTCTTCTTAATTGCAGTTATGTTGCTGTAAGGTTGAATTGTACTTTTTAGTGCTGTATGGGAGATGCATTGGTCTGATTCATAGACTTGTTTTCAATGCTCTTGGTTAAAAAAAAAAAAAAAAAAAAAAAAATCATGTCAAAATTTATATACATTATGTGCATTCTTGTGGATATGCTATTTGTGTATGTAAGTGAATTAAGAATTTAGCTGTAACTTCTCTTCTGCATACTGTCACAGGGTTCGTACGGTCCTAAAGAGTTCTTAAAAGTTCTTAGATTTTTTGGAATCGAATTTTGGTCCTTAAAAGTCCTTAATTTTGGCCAAAATCGTAGAAGGTCCTTAATTTTAATCATCTGAAATTTCTGTCTGTTTTTACGACTGCCATTTTGAGTGTGAATTAGCATTTTGGAGGAATATTTTTTGGGATTCAGTGACATATATGGTTATTTTTTGAATGGGCTCATAATTTGTTTCTATTTCTAATAGAAATGATGGGATACTCGAATTTCTAAGCAAGAAGTGAAACGTAAGCATTTTGAAATTCATTTTTTTCTAATAAAGAGCTCTTAAACAACTTCTCGCTTTGGGGATGTGAATTCTTTTATTAAACGGCTCTAAATTTGGCGACTTATCAACATTTTGGCGATTTTAAGATAAGTTTTTATAGAAAATTTTTTAATTTTGAGATCTGGGAATTTTCCAACAATTTTTTTTAAAACATCATAACATTGATAAATTTTATTAAAATAATGGTAATATATTGAAATTATATTTAAAAAATAAGATTAAAATAAAACATTATTATTTTTTGCTGTCATATTATAAAGAATTATTTTGGAACTTATTATACAATATTTTTAATCTGAAAAATAAATAAGGTATAATGCTGTAAAGCACAATTTACGAAACAGCTCTTAGCAAAAGCAAAATTATCTATGTAATTAATTAAAAATGTCTTGTTTTTAATTTTTTCATAGTAAGAGTTTTTCCCATGTAATTAATTGTCTCAGATTATTCAAAATTTTCATAATGGGCATCAGTTTTCTCTATAAAATTAATTTTATACTTTTTCCCTCCTTTCCCCCCCCCCCCCCCGAAATATTTCTATCTTTTTGCTGTTACAGAAATGGTAGAGAAAATTTTTCTTTAGGATTTTAGACATAGCAGCTTGGAAAGTTTAGAAGGATTTGAAGGCAAGATTTATAGACCCACGATTCTAGAAGATTCGAGAAATATGTGACAAAATGAAAAATGTCTCCATGGTATCAACATGTAATGGATGTATTTTACAGAAAGTTTGCAATGAATTTTTTACTTTTTGGAGAATGTCTGGAAGGACAGTGAAAACATAATATTTGACTATTTTACTTCTGATACTAGAATCTTAACATATTTATCTTCCCTTTATTTTCTCTACTTTTCACTAGACACAAGCATGGAAAATATCAAAAATGCTTCTAATCTTATCACATGGGCAGGCATTATAGATAGGGATGTTTTTATTAATAAATAAATTGAAAACTTACAATTTAAAAGATTAATCTAATATGTCTTAATGCATCATACACAGAGCTGGTACACATTTTTCCACCTGATGCAATCTCTGTGGATCCTAAATTCTGCTGCCTAGTGCACTTCTAAGTTCTGCTTCCAGTGTCTGCTCTAAATTCTAAAAATTTTACCATTTCTAGATTTTGTTATTTGGTGTGTCACTAAATTCTAAAAATTCTGGCACATCAGCTCTGTAACCGGCCTTTACAATATATATTTTATATTTCTTTTGAATGATAATATTACTAAAGAAATAAAATTAGCCACCTTTTGTATAAATTCTAAATGCATTTAGTGTGTTTTAGAATAAGAGAAATCCTTAATTAAATCCAGAAATTCTAAAATGAAAAGGAAACGTGTTTAATCTTTGACCACTAGTCCACATTTTTAGTTTGAATTAGGATGTTCTTGTTTAATTACGTCACCATGAGCTGTAATTGATTTTGTTAGCATCAGAAAATGCCTTTATGTTCTAAGTTCTTTATTTTAAACTTTTGTCTGATGTTGTAAATACTTTCAGACATAGCGATAATATGCTTCACATCTGTCGGAGGTTTCGGACTATTTAACTTTTACCAGATCAAGTAAACCCTCATAGGTACATTGTGGAGAGGTTGACAAGCACGCAGAAACTAGCAAGAGCATTGGTTTGCATAGTGAGACAAATCTTTAATTGTTAGAAAAGATGCTTAAAGAGAAGGAAATCGATATAAAGTAGCCAAAATGTTTGGGAAGGCTTCAAATTAAAATGACGGATAAATATTTTTTGAGTGTTGTTGTTAGAAGACATAAATGTTTTGTAGCTTTTACAGTGTAATTATCCTAATGTCATAAATTACATGTATTTTAAACTGTGAAATGTTATTAGATTTTGATTTTAATAGTGTTTTTTTAACAAATATTGTTAAAAAATAAAATTTAATAGTGGCCATGTAAATCCATAATGACTAAGGTTATCAAACTACCTAATTTAATTATTTATAACTAACTGCTTACCCTTAAAAATTATCCTTACATATTAAAGTGAGTTATTGCCTTTCATTAATACTCACTGTGGTCACAAGATAAAATAAAAAAGTGTAAAAATTCAAGTAAAACTTATTCTTTGCATCTAGTGAGACTTAAAATAATACAAAACAGTTTATCACCTCTGGTGCTTTAATAGCTTATTGGAACCTTAAAGTATATCAACTGGGTTACAATGTCTGGAACTCTACATGAAGCTACGACACTAACTGCATCAAACAGAGCCTGACTAACTTTCAACACTTGTCAACTGTGCATACGTCAAGCCTTTCAGGTTCGTTCTAATCAGCAGGTCTCTCTCTAGACAAGCAGCAGTGGTGACAACATTCAGTCATTTTAACCTATGCAATTATACATGAAATCTACCTGCTATTTACTAAACCTCTAGACTGACTAAGTATGCGACAAAACGAGACATAAAAAAAATCAACATAAAGCTAACTGTTTGTAAAATGTAAATGTCACTTATTTCTTTCAAATATGTCCAACTATTATATGTGTCAAATATTTAAAGCTACTTGATAAACTGCATAAAGTTTATTTTATTCTCAAACTTATTAATAATTATGTTAATTAATTCATGTTTAGTAATACTGCATACTACTTAGGGATCTATTTCATTTTAGGATGGTATTACAAAAGTGAAATTCAGGCATGGATAATATTTTTAATTGAATTTATTCATTTCCCATTTGCTCATAGGTCCTTAATTTTTTTCATTAATGGTCCTTAAAAGTCCTTAAAAGTACTTGATTTCTGTGTGCAGAAATGTGTACGATCCCAGTGTCAGTGTTTTATAACCATGACCTTCATAGTGTCATGCTTCACCCACCAGTGCTTTTCTTCAGCAATTGAATGATCATTCATAGTCAGCAGTTTGATAAATGTAGGTTTTTTAAAATCTAACAGTTCTCCCTGTGTATTCTGGTTATGAAACAACTGGTAATGACCATTACCATGCAACGAGCTTGTGCTTCATTTGTGTACTTTCCACACTTAACAGAGACATTTGCCATTGTTGACTGCATGCGTGATAAACAACAAAACATCCTTTGGCGAAGACAGATCTCCTGGCACCACCTAATTCCTGCTGCTGCAGTATTTCCATAAACAACTTTTTTTTTTTTAATTTATTTATTCTGCATTAAACACTTTTTTGCAATTCTGTAAATGCTCAGTGAAATTAGTGACAGCAACTTAAGATTATTCTCAGTGTTAATATGTTTGCATTTACTCACAACTGTGCCTTATATTAGTGTTATTATTCGCTCTATACTTAAATATATAGGCTTGTTTCCACAAGCCTATATATTTAAGTATAAAGCGAATTTTAGACAGTTGTTTATTTTTTACTAATTGCTGCTCTTATTCTTTCTTGTTCGATTATACCTTGTATATATAAAAGAAAAATTTTTTTAATAATTGCAGCTTATATAATTGTTATTTCGAGCG